AAATGATAATGTGGTTTGTTTTTCTTTATTTATCCTTTGTTTGTCTATGATTTCAGCAAGATGGAATCAATTGTCTTTAAAAAAAAGAAAAAGAAAAGGAGAGGTGGAACACTGACCGGTTAGAAGGGACAAATATGAAATTGTGGAAACATTCCAAAAAATAACATCTACTCAGGGGATTTGAACAGGAACAAACTATCACTATGGATCCAACCTGATATTTCCAATAATTTGACAGTGATTCACTAGCCCAGAGGAAGCTGATTCAGCATAAACACTTACTTCCCCCACACATTCTGGAACAACAGTGGACATCATGCAATCACCCAGGAGACGAGGAGGATTGGTTTAAATACATCCGTGCTACATTGTCGAACTTAATGAGGAAGATGCAGTGTAGCATTCAACCATTTATCAATTGGAACCACATAAAAGTGAAAGCCTAATTGCTAGTTATAAAAGTGAAAGAGTGCTTGCTTTTAAATATAATTAATTAGAGAACTGTAGACAAGAAAATGGATGGCGGTGTTGCAAGCAGGTAGGATTAATTTTATAGTGCAAAAGGTCCCTTATTCCATCCTTACATAGCTGCAAGTTGTTTGAAGGGATAAATAAAGTAGTCCTGACCTTTATTTCCTCCTTTTGCATGATTAATTATTTAATATCCCCATTAATTGAAAAATGAACTTGGAATTTCAGAAGCATTCATTTTGTTCAGCATATCAGTCTGTCGAGAAAGCACCGATTGTGCTGTTTATCAAAGGTGAACAGACAAGGTCATCTAGGCTGCACCTCTCCAGTTATTCATTATCTTGTCCACAGTAGTAATTAACAATGAAAACATTTCCATAAATCAGAGTCCTAGTAATATTCACAAACTAAAGAACAATCAGAAGGTCCCTCTTTTCTTCTTCTTCTTCTTACCCATCCCCACTGCCTTAAACATAAAAAACTTTTTTTTGTAGTCAAGAATATTGTACATGTACGGTAATCCAAATATATGGCTGTTTGTTTCTTTATTTTCATTGTTATATCAATAAACTTTCCGGGAATATTCCCTATCATGCTAGCATTATACTTTGAAAGTAGCTATTACAGTACTATTGTGGTACTGCAAAATCTGGACTGAAAGATAAAAAGAAGATTTGGACTAGGATGCCTGTGCAGACATATACAGTAACATCTGTCTGCAGCTGCCAAATCAAGCATGCCCTTTCCTAGGAGATTGCTGTATCCATCCAGGTAGAAAAGTCAGAGATACTTTTCAAAACTTGTTAGAACAATCAATCAACGGAACAACTTGCCTCCTAGAATTGTGGGTGCTCCATTACTAGAAGTTTTCAAAAATAGATTGGCCAACCATTTGACTGGTGTAAGTTCTCCTGCCTTGAGCCAAGGTTTGTCCTAGAAGATCTCCAAAGTCCCGTACAGCCCTATGAGTCTGTGTTCTATGATTAATGACAACTCAGCCCTGGGAAAGAGAGAAAGAGACTCAATTCTGTCTTGCTTCTGGTACTTGGGGTAAGCAAAGGGAGAAAGAAACCCTAGCAAGCTTTCAAGATTCTATTATTCTACCCTATAACAGTAAAGTAGAGTTTCAGGAATCCTTGCACTGTTTGTTCCCTGGCCTGGCCTACCAGAATTAGAAATAATTAAACTTAAGTTCGATTGCTGATTTGTTTGTTTTTTATTCGGCTACAAAAAAACTGAAGTTGTGGTCACTGCTAACTAAAGGTAAAGGTTCCCCTCACGCATATGTGCTAGTCGTTCCTAACTCTAGGGGGCGGTGCTCATCTCCATTTCAAAGCCGAAAAGCCAGCGCTGTCCGAAGACATCTCCATGGTCATGTGGCCAGCATGACTAAACGCCAAAGGCTCTGTTACCTTCCCACCAAAGTGGTCCCTATTTTTCTACTTGCATTTTTTACATGCTTTCGAACTGCTAGGTTGGCAGAAGCTGGGACAAATAACGGGAGCTCACCCCATTACGTAGCACTAGGGATTCGAACTGCTGAACTGCCGACCTTTCGATTGACAAGCTCAGTGTCTTAGCCACTGAGCGGCTGATAATTACTACTTACTAAAGAAAAATGACTTGAAGGGAAGATTTTTAAAAATATTTTTTAAAACTTTTAAATATATCAACTTGGGAAGGGATCCCCAACATTGGGCTACGGCCTACAGACCAATACGGCCCATTAGAAACCCGGCTGCACAAGTGGCAGGTAAGAGAGCAAAGCTTCATTTGTGCATAAGCGGGACCTAGGTTGTGCAAGAAACCATCCTCCCTTCCCCATCTGTGGAAGACAATTTTTCTTCTGAAATCAATCCCTGGCGCAAGAAAGGCTGGGGGCCGCTGTCCTTAGGAATCAATGGGAACATAACTTTTGCTTTCACTCTTTGAAAAATCTGTTTCAAATCTGTTATCAGGAAGAATAGATATAAGCTTTCCAATTTATGCATAGTCTCTGAATTGCTCAGGCAAAAGATTAGAAGACAAAGAAAGCACCTAATCTCTCTAAAATTCCCTTTCAATTAGCTCATATTCCCTATAAGGTTATCTTAACGTTCTGCATTACATTAAGAAAAAAAATCCTTGGTGGTTTTTTTCCCCCCCTCTGGATGTGCCACACCATTTAGCAAGATCAGGATGGATTTAACGTGTTTTGGGTGTTTGGCAGCCTACATGCTGAATACAACTCAGGAAAAGTGACAGTGTTTGTTCTTTGTAGTTACCCTTTTTGGAGCAACAAGCTATGTTTCTTAAATGCAAGTGAATGTAGTACATTTGAACAAGACTGAATAACACGTACAGAATGCACACACATGCCAAGGTTTGGCAGTGCTGCCCAAATTCACAGAATCTTCACACTGAAGTTCAATCCCAGCGGGGCACAAAAGCAAGCAAACAGTGCAGAAACCACACAAACTTAGCAAATCAACCAAATCAACATTATACTTAGTACTTCTAAAATACAACAGCTGAGCAAGAAGTACAATCATGCATGCAGAACTTCCTATTACCTCTGCCTGTAAAATAAAGCCGAGCACAACACAGAGGCAGCTCATCTATCCATTTGTATGAAGTTCAATAATAGCACTCTAAAAGAGAGAGAGAAAGAAATTCCCAGGCAAGCTGCCAAGCCTGTAGATAACTGCTTCTTTCCTCTCAACACTCCATTCCCACATTCCCCATCCAGTCAAAATCAACTGCAACAGGACTAGATTTGGCTGGAAAATATTTGGGGGGAAAAATACATATAGCAATCCACAAAAGAAGTCCAATCAGTGGCCTGAGCAGTTAAAACAATCCAGAGAATGCCATCCAGAGAATGCTGTTTGAAACAACTAAGCTTTGTTTCGTGCTTGGAACAAAAAAAGGTGTGTTTTGTTTCAGCTTCGAAACCAAACTGTCAAAACAGTGTTTTGTTTCCCAAATACAACACTTAACTGTTTTGTAGTTATTTTGTAATACAAAATAATTTTGTAATACAAAATAACTGTTTTGCAGCAGAAATCTTTTGCACATCCCTAGTTTAGGAGTTGCGGTTAATCTATCAGATGTAAGCATACATATTCTTTCATTGCTGTAGAGTTTGTGGAGTATAAATTACAGTCACGTGTTGTTGTTTTTTTGTTATCTTCTGAGTGCAATAGCTTTAATTGTTTTGTTTTTAACTGCTTTGAAGGTAACAGCCAATTTTTACTGTATTCTATCTCAAAATTCAAATGTGAATGATTTAAGTCAATACTCTGCCAAACATTTTGTTTGACTTCTATGTTACTTTTCTTTCAGAAACTAAAGGAAAAAATACATAGTATTGTCTCTCCCAATTTTTTCCCCAAAAATCTATGAGGTAGGTTAGCTTGAGAGACAGGGACTGCCATGTGTCCAAGTAAACTTCCATGGCTGAGGGTGAATATTTTTGGTCCTCAGTTCCATGGCTGAGCCTTTTTGGTCTTGGTCTAATGCTTTAAAGCAGGGGTCTCCAACCTTGGCAAATTTAAGACATGTAGACTTCAACTCTCAGAATTCCAGCCAGCTTTGCACTAAATTTTTTTAGTACCAGTTCTGTGGGTGTGGCTTGATAGGCGTGGCTTGGTGGGTGTGGCAGAGGAAGGATACTGTAAAATCTCCGTTCCCTCCCCAATCCAGGGGAAGGTTACTGCAAAATCCCCATTTCCTCCCAATCAGCTGGGACTTGGGAGACAGAGAATAGATGGGGGTGGGGCCAGTCAGAATTTTTACTACCGGTTCTCTGAACTACTCAAAATTTCTGCTACCGGTTCTCCAGAACTGGTCAGAACCTACTGAAACCCACCTCTGGTTGGAGACCCCTGCTTCAAAATTACTCCACCGTGCTGGCTCTCCAGTGCTATCTGGAAAGCACCAAATTGTTAGAGGCTCTCTTTACTAACTCATAGTGTTATTATCTGTAAAGATGCCAGACTATTGCTCAGTATTCCAGTAATTCCACCTTCTGGGTCATAGAGTTTTTCACTAGACACTCAATACTCCTTTCCTCCTTTTCCCATCCATACCTGGGCCTTGCTCATTGGTAGTGCCCATTTTAGTTATGTAAGCAATGACCTCAGTACAAATCTTAGAAACTAAGGAAATTATAGTGCAAAAGTAGAATCTTTATGCTGCTGAGTGTTGCAGTGTCTTTTATAAAATGATGAAAGAACAAATCTGAACTCAACATGCAGTGTAATTGTTTTAGTCAGTGAACTGCTATCTCAAAAGTCTGGGCTGGTGTATTCAGATCTGTTTTTTTTAAAACTGTAATTCTGTTAGTGGGGTACAATAAGCATGTGTTTATAGAAAAGCTAAATCTAGAAACCTATCCAGTTAAATACATTATTCCTTCTTTCATTTGAGAATGCAGGTAATTCTTATCCCCACCTCATTCAGTCTAATATATTGTTCCCTGGGGAACAGTTTTCAAATTTGTCACATCTCACAAAATATTTGGTTTTACCAACACTCTGGACACTTACCAAGAGGCATCTCAGGGGGTAAGTAATGAGGCTCTTGAGCACTAACATGTACCCAGTCAAAATCATCATAGGGGTCCTGATGATAATCACAGGGTCCCGGGCCATCTTCAAAGGTGCAACCTCCTAAAAGAAAGAAATGAAATCAATGCATAAGAACAAACAAATTATATAATTAGATGTACATAGTTTTTAAAAATCCAGCTACAGTTTCTTTCAGTGAGCCTCTGAAACAGAAAAGCATCATTCATCATTTCTTGTCAGCAAATTAGGGTAGTCAGCATCTTTTGATGTGGCTTTTCTCTCATTCACAAATTGTCTCTTCCAGCAAGAAAATGATTCTAGAATCTAGCAAGTGGCTGCTATTATCCAGAAAGGCTGCATGAAGTAGCATTGGCATAACAATGCCACAAAGAAGAAGAACTCTTTGATGAAAACTTGAAGTAGTGAAACTGCAAATACCGTATTTTTCAGAGTATAAGACGCACCTTTCCCCCCCCCAAAAAAGAGGGTGAAAATCTGGGTGCTTTATTGTCATGCGCTCAAAAGCCTGATTGGACTTATTATCAGGGGATGTCTTATTTTGGGGAAAACAGGGTACCTGTATGGAATAGTTACAAACCCAGTTTGTGCTCAAAAACATGGAAGGTCTCAGCACAAGAAGCATTTCATAGACAAGAAATAATAATAGGCAAATGTAGGTGGCTAAATTCTGTGTGTGTGTGTGTGTGTGTGTGTGTGTGTGTGTGTGTGTGTGTGTGTGTTCCAGCATAACTCTGAAACATCTCGAGCAATTTCAACCAAACTTGGTACACAGATGACTTACTCTCTGGAAAAAAATACTGTGGGGGTAAGACACCCCTAACACCCCTCGGGGGGGGGGTGTTCTGTTTAGATACAGCCTGTTGTGCCTTAAAATGGCTTCTACTGTACTGCCTTAAAATGGCTTCTACTGTACAGCACAGTGGAGTTGCCATGGTAACGCTCCACATTACTCCACAAGGGAGCTCCCTCTGGTAAGGGGGAAAATCCAACATTAGAAATTACGTTTGGTCCGGACATTTTCAACAAGGCTTTGATTATTCTTGAGAACAAACATATGGCCATGATCAATAAAACATTACTGCAACTGGGCCTGCCTGCACCACTATGAGACCAACACGACGTATTTCATGCAGATTACATACAAGAAAAGAACTACAACATTGAACATCTTAGTGCATATATCGCGGACAAAAACATACCAAATGATCATGGATCGTCTAGCAAAACTACAAGGTGGTATCATTTTACTTGACACTTCTGGGGGCACAGGGAAAACATTTTTAACTAATTTAATTCTCGCCGAAATCAGGGCTCAGGGTGAAGTTGCTCTTCCTGCCTAATACAGGATTGCGATAAATAAATACCCGGGCAACGCCAGGTTATCAGCTAGTATATAATAAAATCTCAGGAAGAACTAGAGGCAGAGTGATATAATTGTCAATAGTTTACGATTGTCAGAATTTACAATTATCGCAAAGATTATATACATATACAAACAAATCCAAACACTAAGAGCTTGCCAAGAAATTTCCATGCCCATTCTTTTAAAAAAAGGCTAAAATCTTTATAATCTGTTAACCAGTGCTGCAAAAATTATCGAACAAGCTATGAGAAATCATAAGCTGAGCCAACAGAAGGTGAAATGTATCTTAACAGTTATTTTAAAAAGAGTATGAAATGGAGATGCACAAAGTAAACAAGAGATAACATGCCATCAAAAATACCTCCATCTATCCAATTCTTAGTACAGAATTAAACACGGCATTCAGCAAAACTACAAAGAAATACAGAATGGAATACACTAATATTGTCCTTACTACAGTCTCCATTTAATGTTTTTGATAAGTCTCAATCAATCAGAAAAGAAGACATTGCACACATTAATAGAAATATCTTTAATTAGTCCATATTGTCAAGGCAGCATAACTTCTACAGAAATGTAAAACCGGAAGAGACTTGGTCTGGAGAAAAACAAACCAATAGCTTCACTTGAATCTTAGTGGTCATTTTCAATTATTCAAGAATCAATAAAGAATCAATGAAGAAAAAAAAACTTGAATAAACTGAACTGAATAAATGAAATGAAAATCTGAATTTGGGATCAGTCTTCCCCAACCTGGTCTCTTTTAGATGTATTGGGTACAATTTTTAAATCCCTAACTTTCTGGACCAACAGAAAATTGGACATTTCTACCCAAAGCATTTGGAGAAGACTGATGCAGAAGTTGAAGATAAGGAATTCTGTTCGTCTTCTTAACAAGCTGCTTTCCGCCATACTGAAAATAATGCAGATCAGGACAGGTACAAACAATCTGCTGTAAAAGAACGTAGCTTCAAGGACAATACATCTCAATCATATCAATTTTGCAGCATCTGTTATGGTCTCAGCCAACATCCTTGTATCAGCTGCTGAAAATTCTTATGAAAATGAAAAGAACGATAAGAAAAGATAATATGTGATAATATCAAAGAAAACAGCTGCCTGTGAACGTATACCCTGATCTTCTATATCCAGTGGTGTTTATAAAGTGTAGGCTCAAAACTAGTTTTTTAAACAGATTACAAATCAAAGGGCCAAAACAGAATGATGTGTAATATTTCATTAGCAAAATTGGGTTCTTAATTTGTGATATCAAACAACATGTTAGAAATGTCTTGGTATATGATAATTCGGAATGATGACAAATGCTAATTATTTACTAATCCTATTTAAATATTTTTGTATATGATTGAGGATGGCTATGCTAACCCTTGTGAATTTCTCTTGAAAAAGTGAAGAATATGCAAGGATGCGGGGGGGGGGGGAGCAGGATCTAAATAAACCAGTCAACATAGGAAGAGGGGACAGTAGTCCTGTTCTTTTCTCCCGGACTACTGGTTAATTATTTTTAATAGGGCTATTATACCATAACAATTCTGTTTCTTTTCTACACTTCACATTTAAATTTTCATTTTAAACAAACATATCTAGTTCCTCCCCCAAAGTGAGACAGAGAAAAGTCAATCATACATTTCACAATGTTTTTGACTACAGTAACTGTTACTTTAGAGCTGTGATGGCGAACCTATAACACATGTGCCACAGTTGGCATGCGGAGCCATATCTGTGGGCATGCGAGCATTGCCCTAGCTCAGCTCCAGCACACATGTGCACCCAGAGGGCCTCCGGGGTGTGGGAAAAGCCATTTCCGCCCTCCTCACGCTCCAAGAAAGGCTCTGGAGCCTGTGGAGAGTGAAAAACGGACCTTCTGGTCCCACAGGAAATCAGGATACGGGCCGTTTCCGGCCCCTGAATGGGGTTGGGAAGGCTATTTTCACCTTCCCCAGGCTCCAAGAAAGCCTCTGGAGCCTGGGGAGGGCGAAAAATGGCATCGCGTGTCAAAAGTGGGGAGAGCGCAGGGGGGGTCGTGCGCGCATACATAGGGGGCGGGGCACATTGAATTATAGATGGGAGTATGTGCGTGGGCCTCCTGCCCTCCCCTGCTTTTGGTGGGGCAAAAAGGTTAGCCATCACTGCTTTAGAGACTAGAGGATAGGAACAGTATAACACAAGTAGAGAGGATTGATAAAGGAAAATATTTGTAGCTTGGGTTTAAAATGAGGGGTCCTTGATGCTCTTTGATCTTGGTTGTTTTATTGCAGACTTTTCATTATCCAAACTAGGTAACATCATCAGGGCTTGTAAGGGTTAACCCAATAAGTAAGAAAAGAACAGGATCACTCCTACCATCACTGACAGGGCAAGCCACCTGAATATAAACCAAGAGCAAACCCCATTCCTTACTATTTACTGATGATGTTTGGGTGAAATATCTGCAAGAAAACCACCAAGCTCAGAGAGCATCAAGAACCCCTCACAGAGAGCCTCGGTGGTGCAGCGGACTAAAGTGCTGTTAAGAGCTAGCACTTAGCTGCCAGCTGCCTGCAATGAGTGCAAGTTCGAATCTCACCAGGCTCAAGGTTGACTCAGCCTTCCATCCTTTCGAGGTAGGTAAATTGAGGGCCCAGATTGTGGGTGCAATAAGCCAACTTTGTATAGAACAACACCTCTTAGGAGGGGCCAAAAGCCCTAATAAGCAGGTATATACTGTACAAAAAAGTATGCAGGTATGCTATAATGCATTGTAAGACGCCCTGAGTCTACGGAGAAGGGCGGCATATAAATTGGACTAATAAATAAATAAATATTCAAAGTGCTAAAATTGTTACATGACAATTTTTCTGCTTTCAGCCAGGAAAGCAGAATCAAAGCCCAAATTATATCACTACTAATCAGACTTTTATATTTACAGAACTTTTCAATAAAAAGGACAGGAATATGAATATGAATATCCTAGAACAGGGGTGTCAAACTCGAGTCATCACATCATCAAGTGATGTATTGCAACATTTTTCCCCTTTGCTAAAACGGGGTGGGTGTGGCCAGTGCATGACTCATCTGGCGCGGGCCTCGAGTTTGACACCCCTGTCCTGGAATATTATCATACAAAATATACGCTTATTGAAATTTTTAAAAAATATTTTCTTTTGTTTAGCCTTAGAAAATTCTTAATAAAACAAGAAATTAAGATATTTTTTAAAATAATATATTTTCCTTAATTTACTAATCAAATGGTTTTATTTACAATATTACTCTGGATATATTGCTGAAGGGCATTATGATCTTTTAAAGAGACGTGGCATAATATAGTTACAAAAGGCGGAAAAAAAGCAATCTTCATTCTACGGTCAATTTCCCTTATTCTAATTGTGCAGTTAGTTCATTAAAGGATTTCTTTTTGAAAATGCTTTTTGTTTGTTTCTTTACGCTTAAATGGAAAGGCAGACCTGTCAATTTATTAACATTAGGGCAATTACAGAAGATTGTTCTGCACTAAAGCTATGTTTATACCTATAGTGGCCTGGACTGGCCATTTTTGCATCAGCAGGTTAATTAGTTATTTGAAACAATGGTAAAAAATTGCTAGGGTTGTAGTCCAGAAAATCTAAAGGGCACCAGATCCTGTATCATAGTTGGAGAACAAACTCTATTCTAATTAATTCCATAATCTACTAGACTGTTGCAACATGATTAATAATCA